TACGATGAGCTTTGGCTTTAGACTGAGGCCCATAAAGGAGAATGTAAGGTTACAGATTTTTTTCATGTGAAAATGAGTACCAGTTGCATATTCTGCACCAGGAAGAAAAAATATTTTGTTTTAGAGAGTAGATACAACATTTTTGTAATATTTTTGGAATGCCAGAAGATACAAATATATGCCAGAATATGCATTTAAGTTAAAAATCATTAATGTCATTCCTTTGTTTTTCAGCTTAACATATTTAGAAACAATGAGTGAATGATTTGACTGTTTTGCTTTAATAGACAGTTTAAGATCAAGATGCCAAAGAACAGGTCACTTGGCTTGAATATGGTAAACTTTTGTCTTAGGCTAATGGCATTTAGTGATTTCACTACTTTCAAAAAGATATAAAACTTTCATTTGGAATATCTTTCCAATACTTCTGACCCTTTGAAGTGTGATACATGGGTACAAGTGACTGAAGTTGGTTCAAACTTTTGTGAACTGTCTTTTTTTTGTAGATCTCTGAACTTGGTATGAAGAAATGAAGTATACAACCAGTCCAATTAGTTGAAGCAAGCTCTCCTTGCTTGCATTCATATTTGACTTAATTTACCCTTAATTTATTTAAGCTTTGATTTTTTTCTCATTTAATTGAAACAGTATAAATATTTTATTTTTTAATTGAAGAGAAATTCTGATTTTTAGCTCCCGCTGGGTAAAAAAGTGACAAGGCTGCTTAATGCTGCTAACTCTAAGTGCTGTTTGTGGTTCATTATGAGCTCTAGAAATCTTATATGGAGAAAAGAAAGGGATTTGGTGAAAAGAAAAGTCCTCGAAAAAAGTCAATTAGAGTCTGTGCTGCCTGTCAGTGTGAAAGAGGAGGAGCAGAGCATCCATTCTGAATTAGTGTACTAAGAAGCAGAAATCCAATTAGCAAATTCACATTTCTGCAGCAGAAGACAGTGATTAAAATTTTGGTGAACTACTCAAAATTTCTGCCACACACTTTAAAACTCTGACAACTTATAGAGGCTTTTAAAAAAATGTTCTGCATTTTAAGAACAAATACGCAAATAGAAAACTCATTATGCTTCTTGTTCTGAAATGACCTTTGATTATATGGAATGAGAATGTTGTTTTTATTATGTAATGTTTATATATTATTTAACTTCATGTTCAAATAGGACACTTCTAAAACGTGTAGCGTCAGAGCTGCAAATCCTGCATTTTTGATGTAGTTAAAAGAGAACTGATTTCTGGAAACAAATAAATAAAATTATTTTAAAGTTTTTAATCCTGATTTCAGATTAACTCATTCAATAATAAGCATTTAATAAATATGTTTGATGCACCTAGTATTGTGTTAAGCGCTGGTGACACAAAAATGAATAAGACGTGGTCCTGACCTACGGTAGCTTGCTTTTAACTCTAGTGTGAGGAACATACAATTAATTAGACCAAATTAAAGAGTAGCATGGCTAACATCTTGGTGGAAGAATGAAAAACATCAGTGGGTATACAGAGGATAGAGTCTCCTGCTCTAAATGTGGACATCCAGATGCCTTTACAGATGATGTACACTTTAGTACTCAAACTCTTTGGGGCTGTGAAGGCTGAACTATGAGCGGTCAAGGAAATGAATCCAGCCTTGCAACTGCCTCAGGTGAACTGAGACACTATATATGCATTTTTTAAAGAATTGTGCTAGGCTTCATGCATTATATTTTATTACGTACAGTATGCATTATATCTTCTTCCTATGAGTATGTATGCCTGCATATGAATGGAATCAGTTAACTCATAATTTATTTTTTAGTCACTATAAATTGTGACTACTGTGTGTATCTAGCTAACTTTATGAGTTTAATACATTTATATGTAGTCAATACAATTATATATTAAATTTAGAAGTGTAAATGCCATTTATGTGCTAATGACTCCTAAATTTATGTGACATCTCTACTTGGATATCTAGGCATCTCAGGTATCCAAGTATTTGTCTCATATATATGCTATCTCTTAGCATATTCAAAACAAAACTGTCTTTTCTACCTGCCCCAAATTTTTTGGTTTAGTTGCAACTATACCTTCTAATTGCTCAAACCAAAAACCTTGGAATCATCCTTGATTCCTCTTTTTCTCTCATACCCCATAATCTATTTGTCAAAAAATTCTGCTTTCAACTACTGTATATTAAGAACCTGATCACTTCATGCCACCTCCAGCTGCTATCACTGTGGTCCAAGTGACTGATATCTCTTGAATGGATTAATTCAATTGTAGCCTTTCTCTGCTTCCACCCTTGCATCTATGTTCTAGACTCAACATAGGAGCTAAAACAGTCATTTTAAAATGTAAGTTAGATCATGGAATACTCCTACTCAGAACCCTCCAGCAGATCCCCAAATTACTCAGAGCAAAAGCTAAAATCCTTATAGGACTCACAAGGCTCCATGCAGGCTGCCCTTTCCAGCTCTCCTCTTTGGTCATGTCTCCTGCTATTCTCCATTCAATTCACTGTGCTGTAGCACCACTGGTTCCCTAATAATCTTCCAAAATGCTAGGTCAGTTTCTGTCTCAGGGCATTTGGACTGCACCAACTTTTGCCCCAGACATTAGCATGATTTTGTTTGCTCCTTCACCCCCTTTAAATCTTTGCTCAGATGTCACCTTTTCTTTTCTTGTGTTTTTGTAGGAATTGTTCATCCTTTATTCTTGTATTAGTCACTGTTTTCCAGAGAAACAGAATCAATATAGGATTATGCATATGTATAAATATGAGAAGAGAGAGATTTATTTTAAGAAGTTGGTTTACATGATTGTGGCAGTTGGCAAGTTCAAAATCTGCAGGGTAAGACCCAGGAAAGAGTTTGAGTACTAAAGCAGTCTGCTGACAAAATTCTCTCTTCTTCACAGGAGGTCAGTCTTTCCTGAAGGCCTTCAGCTCACTGAGTGAGATCCAGACATACTATGGAGAGTAATCTGCTTTACTCAGAGTCCCATCCAAAAAATACCTTTATAGAAGTGTCTGTGAAGTTTGACCAAAGATCTGGGTACTTGCTAGCCAAGTTGACACACAAAATTAACTGTCTCAATTTTTGTAATTCAAAACACTTGCCATTGTGTTCCTAGCTTTGAATTTCTTTTCAAAATAAACCCTTTTTATTTGCACATGTAGATAACTTTTCACATCAGAAGAGTGTTTTTCAATCAGAATAAATCATTGTTTCTGTTCTAACCAACTTTTTTACTAAGAAGCACTCACAACACCGAAGACAGATCTCTTCAGGCTGACCCTTCATATTTATCTTTACCTTCTTTTGTCTTTACCTTCTTGCTTTCCCATCATTTTTCCTTCTTCTCTTCATTCTCAAAGAGCATCTCAAGTTTAGTTCTTTCATTACTGGTTTGATTTCCCATCTTTTCAATTCTGATCAGTGCCGTCTTAAAGAGGATTATTTTTTTTTTTAAAAGATGTGAAGTACAATTCAGGGTTAGGTATACAAATGTTCATTATGCAGGTATCCTTGTTAATGAGGTGTGTCCCTCTCCCCTCCCCGGGCAGATTCTTACTACTGCCAATCCTGCTTCCCTGTCTCCTCCCGACAGCTTCCCACTACTGCCAATCATTCTCTTGTAGTATTATGATAGTTGTTCCAGGTCCGCTTATGAGTGAGAACATGTAATACTCAGTTTTTTCTTTCTGTGAAAGATCACTCAGTATTATAGACTCTTAAGTCCATCAGGTTGGTGTGAAGTTCATGATTTTGTTCTTCTTTATGACTGCTTAATATTCCATCATGTGTATGTACCACATTTTTTTAATCCAGTCCTCTTTTGATGGGCTGCATGGTTGAGTCCATGTTCTTGCTACTGTGAGCAATGCTGCAATAAACATATGTGTGCAGGTATCTTTCTTATAGAGTGATTTGAGTTCTTCAGGGTATATTCCCAGTAGGGGGATTGCGGGGTCATATGGAAGGTCGATTTTTAAATCTTTTAGGAATCGCCACACTGTTTTCCACAGATGCTATACTAGTTTACACTTCCACCAACAGTGCTGAAGTGTTCCCTTTTCACCACATCCTCTCCAGCATCTGTTGTTTTTGAGTACTGATGATGGCCATCCTGACTGGAGTTAAGTGGCATCTCAGTGTGGTTTTAATTTGCATTTCTTTGATGACTAGTGAGGCTATGCTTTTTTTCATGTATCTGTTGGCTGTTCATAGTTTTCTTTTGAGAACTGTCTATTCATGTCTTTTGTCCACTTTGTAATGGGGCTGTTTGTTTTTTTCTTTTCGACACATTTTAGTTCCTTGTAGATCCTAGATGTTAGTCTTTTATTAGGTAAAAAAAAATTGACTTCTAACCAATTCATATTAAAGACTAAAATTAGTCAATGATTAAAGACTAAAATTAGTCAATGATTAGTCAATGGCCATATATATTCTTAAACATAAAATGAGACACTAAAATGTTACCTTGGAAACACACAGACTTGGAAGACTATAAAAAGGTCTAAAATGGCTTCCAAAGTTTCTTAAGACCCTGGAAAAGTAAAAAATGAAACAATACCCTCACTTGTGCACCTGGGCTGTATTCTAGAGCTCAAGTTCTTTTGCAAGCCTGTGTAGTTGTTGGAAGAGTTCCCTTTGGTAGTAGGCCTAAAGTGTTTCTTCCCCTTCTCCCTCCCCCTCCCCCCTCCTCAATGTAATATATTCAACAGCTTCCTCACCTATTAGACAATAGATTGCTTTTAATTGTTAGGATGCTACAATAAAATCTTTTATTTTAATTTTTATTGCTAGTCATATATTCACTATAGATTTCTATACTACACTCATTTTTAATTGAGTATTTAAAATATTACATAAACATATGCTTAAAGATTTTAGACTTATCTTTTTTGAATATTTTACAATAATACTCTACCTTATAATAAACTATATTCATAATTTTTGAAATGAATGTAGCATTCACCCTTTCATCTTTCATCTTATTTATCTCATTAGCTAAGAAACCTTTCCAGCTTGGACCTACGTCATATCACTGAACTGGATAATGAAACTGTGATGGAAATTGTCAAGAGGTGCAAAAATCTTAGCTCTCTCAATCTCTGTCTGAACTGGATCATAAATGACAGGTAACCATTGTAATATCTTTAAAATACTTTCCCAGAGAAAAGCATGTAGCAAATACTAATTATCGTTATAACAAGGCATGCCAACCTTAAGTAAAATTGAATGCAGCTATATCTTTTCAAATTGATATGTTTAAGTTTTGAAAACCATCTAGATTTATACTTTTAATACATTCATTGCTTATAAGTACAGAAAAGTTTTACAGTGCTTTGATACAAATGTTTGCCTAAACAATTGGAACAATAGTAGCCTGTTGAATTTTTTCTTTGCTATTTATCCAGGATATATTGTTTGCCATTTTAATATTTTTGCAACTTTTTTGGTTGATTTTACTGTTCACTTATCAAGGAAAATGATTCTGAGAAACCACCTTAAACATTATGCATTAGACCCTTTCTTAAGGATAACTTTTGTTTTCTTTTTTTTTTCCTTCACATTTATTATAATGGATGTTACAAAGGATATGCTTGAAGAGATACATAGCATTAGGTATGGGGGAAGGAGAACAGAGCTTTCATGCCCTTTCTTGGCACATGCCACCTTCTAGGTACCTCCACGTGTTCTGTCTGGAAGTTCTGACTTTTTTTTTTTTCAGAGACAGGGTCTTGCAATGTTGCCCAGGCTCAACTGCTGAGCTCAATCGCCTCAGCCTTTTGAGTAGCTACAGGCACATGCCACCATGCAAAGCTAAGGGAGAAATTTTGTTCTGTCTGTCTGTCTGTCTATCTATCTGTCGATCTATCTACTATCCACACACACATATATGTATATGTACCTATAATATATGTAAATTACATATATAACACTGATTTTGAAATGGAAGTCACATTAAGAATAGTTTAATATATAGTATAAATGTGTAAAAGTGTTTTTTTCTTGTAAATAATAATAAACTCATTTTTTTCTTTGAAATATTGCATGAAGAAAGAAAAAGATATAGGAAAACCCCCGAAAATAGACCGCTTTAATGAAAATAGCTGCATAGTGCCCTTAATGCTACTGATTAGGTAGATTTATAAATATGGGCATAAGACAGGATTCTTTTCTCGTAACTTTTCAAGAATTTTTCAAAAAGATAGGCCACCAAAAATATTCTTTCCAAATGGAAGTACTATCTCAACTAAAATTAGAACCTATTTATGTTTAAATATTCTTTTAAAAATAGGAGAAATAATTAAGTTTGTGTCAGGTAATGTTTTAAATTTAAGATTTCCCCCTTTTAATTTCCTTTTGTACTTTAAAAATAAAATCATGTGGACTCAATTTTCCTTAATTATGGTAAATTCTAATGATATTTTCTTAAATTGTCTTGAATTACTATAAATTATGTGATAGCCTTGATTTGCTTCTTTTTTTGTAAAATTTTTCTTGAAAATTTTATTCATCTAGAATTGGGTATGTGATCATTTATAAAAAGTATTGTTTTTTCAGTAGTAGTCACTATATGAAATATATGAATGATATAAATTTAAAAAGTTAAATTCTTCTCTATAGTTCACATTCTATATAGACATTTATATGACAATTTAAAATATTATTTAAAAAGCTTTTCCTTGTGGTTTTAGGTATTTAACATTAGGCTAACATTGTGATTCATTTCTTAGTAATGCATTAAATTAAAAAGAGAAAACTGTTTCTACAACAAATAGCTTATATTCTGCAACAATTTTCTTGGAAGAGTCATAAGTAAGATACAGTCCATGTATGATTATATGGGTCATCTCCAAAGTAAACACTTTGCTTAGGCTTGTGTCATTTAAACACAGGTGTGTGGATGGGGGGGTGAATTTATAATCTTTTAAATGCTTATTTAAGTTATAACTGCGTAATTTACAAATGAAAAGGTGAGTAGCCCTTACTTTGCCTTTCCTTCTCTTTGTTAGTCTCCTTGTACTCAAACCTTATGCTGTTTCAATCATTTTTTTCCTACTTAACTGAAATGGTTATTTGGTGATTGATCCTAAATATATGTATTGTAGAGATTTATTTGCAAGGAATGAAAGTATATTTTTATGTTTTTAATGGAAAAGTTTGGATTAATTGAGAAAACATGCATTTTAATGAGGTTGAGCAGTAGAATTTTAAAGATCAGGCTCTTTTAGGTTTTAATTACACTACTTGTACTTATCCTGTATACTGTAATAGAAGTTTCAAACATTAAAACCCACTTTGCAGTATCATCTAAATTACTCATCTCATTGTTCTTGCCATATTATATTACTAAGCTAAGTAATATTTGTAATTATATTGGTATAAATCTAGAACTTCCCATCAGACTTAATTATAATTTCAGCACTTAGCTGAGATGGGTTAGTAACCTTCCGTATAGAGGGCACTGGAATGCACTAATGCATTTAGCCTATCAATTAGTTTCTGTTTTACATTTGTTCACTATTATCATCCTCCAGTAAATCAGAAAGCATTTATTAACCCCTACTAAATACTTGGTACTGTGTAGCAGACCGTGGGACACTCAGTTCCTTCTGTTCTCAGAAGTCACTCTCTTTAGGTGACATAAGACTTAATGGTAATAGTGAGTCTTATAAGCATAGAGGTGTTGCAAGTAACCTTTATTACCCAGGTAATTGATAGGCACTTTACATATGTTCTCATCTAATTCCTTCAACATCTTTTGTTCAGGGGAATATCATATTAGTCCTATTAAATTAGACCCTTTGTTTGACTTTTCTTTGGCTTTTTCAATGGATGTATTTTTCCACTATTGCTGTAGGAAAAGCTGGGGACAAACAGAAAACGTCATGACTGATGAGCCAATTTTCCATTTCATAGGTGGGATTCATATACAACTGACATTTATTTGGGAAATTCTTAATTTTTTTGAACTAAACTCATTCTTTTCTTTCATAATGAAGGCATAATAGAACTTTTAGAATTATTTTACATATAATACCTATTACAAGGATCTTTCTTTAATGTTGCTAGTTTTAATAAAGTATTCCCCAAATTGAGATAAACGTCAGTGCTTGTCTTATTTCATTGTATATGAGATTTATTCTAGGTTTTAAAAGTTCTTATCTGCTATCTTTTGTCTGAAGTTCAAAATTTAAAAATATGTAGTAGTTGAAGAACTTTGCTATCATACTCATGATGTTAGCATTTTCTGGTTCTTGAATTTATCTGTGTGACTAAGACATGCTGCTCTTTATCTTTGTTTTTCTAGAAGTCCTTTTTGTGTTTAGAGAGTTAAATAGATGATATTTTCTTGTATTCAGAAGGATGGTCTAGTAGTCATTTGACATTTACCATTGCTTTTGAATACAAATAAAATCCAAGTATTTTATGAAAAGAGGACCCTGACTGTTTCTATCAATGGTTTAAATTAAACATCTGGTTATTATGTCTACTCCACTCTTTCCAACTCTAAGATTATTGAAATATTTATTTATATTTGATACAAATCTTTTGTTACATCACATCCAATTTGGTCTTCAAAGTTTTTGTATGTTTGACATGAAGTCCAAAAGCAGCATGTTTTGGATGATAAAGGCTGATGTGTAAGAAATGGATCATTTGAGCATCTCCTTAGTAATATGCTTATAATGGTTCTTTTATTCTTTTTTGCCAATAAGAATTGAATAAAATCTAATTGATTTTAATAGTTCTTTGCAAAAGCTGTTTTCAGGTTTTCAACTGACTGTCAAAGAGGTAATCTCCCCATTTTCAATGTTTAACATTTATCCTGAAAAAGAAATTAGTTCAATCCTATTGTTTGTATCCCCATTATCATTTGGATATAAAAAACTGATATGTGAAAAATAGAATTGCCTGAGCATCTTCTTAGCAGTATACATTATGAAATCTATGAACTTCCTTTGACAGTTGGCCATGCTTACTCATGATTAGGAGAACAGTATACGAGGAAAGAATACAAGAGAAATAAAAGACTCTGTAGCATCAGTTAACTAAAGTAATAAACTCTAACAAAAGCCAGTGTTATTAATATAAATTATGTAGCCATAATTTGCTGTTTGAATCTTATATTTGTGTAAAGGGAGCTGTTGCATCAGTGTGCCCTCTAAGATTTGTAGAATTTTAAATCTGAGACTGTTGTGGCCAGTTTCTTTCAAGGACAATATAATGTTTAGAAAACATTGTTATTTCACTTTATATGTGCAGGGGTATAGAATAGTAATTATAGTTATTTCTCTTTAAATAAAACTTTTAAATAAGACTATGTGAAGTTGCAAACTGGTGGGTCACAGCTGAGTCCAGTCCTCAAAGCTGCTTTGTTTCGCATACATGGTATTTTAGAAAGTCAAATTCATTGCTGACACTTTAAAAACTGGTATAGTTTATATAAACATTTTGAATTGGGGCCTTATTTTGGAAAAGTTGTAGTTCTGTTATCATCAGGTCCACATCTTCTCATATCAACAAGCTTTCCAGGATGAGAATGGACTGTTCTCTTTGGCCATTTCTTTAATTCTCCCCTTGTCCCACCAGGTATGATATATTCTTTATATTATCTGCCTGTCCTCAACCCAGGGTGCAAACTCAGTTCTCCCACATTAAAATCCAACTGTAGAAAATTTTATATATTTCATATTTTAATCAAATAGTTTTTCTAAAATTAAGTCTGAGAAAACTTATCAACAATTAATAGAGAGTTAGTTGGTCTACCTAAATTAGTTCCTTGTTATTTAAGGTACCAGAACTTTGGTGGAAGTTATAGAGGGGGACACAATTCAGATTAAAATAAATTAAATCCTTCATTTTCATTGACTACTTTCCAAAGTAGAGAAAAGCTCTCACTTAGTGTTCAAACAAGAGTGTTGTAAAAAGTTTGCTGAATTATAAGGAGGGTTGAACTACTTTGCTAAACTCCCTCCACCCTCAAACCTGTGATTTAAAGTTGTTTATTTTAAAATGAATTCATTAGCAGTGCTTTGTATTTGATTCATAGGTCCTTTGTTTTCAGTATTAAGAAAAGTCTTAATACTATTCTTTTCCTTGTTATAGAAAAGGCCCTTTTTAGTTTTTT